ATTGTATCTTTTTTTTAAAGATCCCCTCCGCATATCACTACCTTATGGTGGTAGAGGGGTTTATGTGTCCCAGGGAACCCAGGGGCTATGTTGTCCAGGGGCTTCTGCCCCCTGGTAGGGTCTCCCATGGCAAAATGGTCCTTGGTGAAGGACTAGACAAAGAGCGATTTAGAAGTTCACCCTGCCCAGTATAGGGTTACCGGGGCCCCGTCCTGGAGCCAGGCCTGGGGAAGCTGCCCAAAGGCGAGTGTATGGTGGCCGGGCCTTAGTCCACAGGGCTGAGCCGGGCACAGCCCAAAAGAGAGACATGGGCCCATCCTCCTGCAGGCCCACCACCTGCAGGAGACGCCGTAGGGGTCGGGTGCATTTTGTGCCAGCAGCAGCCAGGAGCAGAGGTCCTGGCAGACCGATCCACTGGGAACGCTGGACAGAGGCCCCAGTCCATGAGATCTTCAACACACAGAGCTCTACTTGCATTGTGTATAGTGCGAGTGAAGCGCTGCTGACTTGAACTGAGAAAATTGTTGGGTGGTGGAAGGAATACTTCTAGGACCTCCTTAATCCCACTGGCACATCTTTTGTTGAGGAAGCAGAGTCTGGGAATGAGGGGGATGACTCGCCAATCTCTATGGGCGAGATAACTGAGGCAGTTAAACAACTCCTCGGTGGCAGAGCCCCTGCAGTAAATGAAGTCTTCCCTGAGTTCCTAAAGGCTCTGGATGCTGTCCAGGGCTGTCCAGGTTGACAAGTCTCTACAATGTTGCATGGAGGTTGGATTGACAGACTGGGGTGGTGGTTCCCATCTTCAAGAAAGGGGACCGGAGGGTGTGATGGTTGAATTATTGATCAGATTAAAGACAAAAGCTTAGCCACATTATGATTTGATGAAAAAATGAAACAAATTACCACAATATCTAAAAAAGGGTCTATGGACAATGTGAATCAAAATGAATGTAATGATTTGCAAATCTCAAACACTGACACTCATGAGCTGAAGGTTTCCTAAACGCCCTGTTTTACTCACATTTCACATCAACAGAAATGTTTGTAGGTGTTGATGTTCCCAGCCTGTTCTCAGCTGTACAGTAATACTCTCCAGAGTCAGCAGGCTGGATGGACTTGAAGGAGAGCTGTGAATCTGTACTCACAGATGTTTGATTGTTCATCTTGTACCAGACATACGTAGCTGCTGGGTTAGCATCACTGCTACAGGTCAGAGTCACTGAAGTGCCCTCCTTGATTTCACCAGACGGACTCACTGACACATAGGGAGGCTTTGGAGCATCTGGAAGAGAAAACACAGGGAGGTAACTGTAGTTTGAATTTCTGACCAAATCAACTAACTGTGTAAGTGTACAATGAGACAAGTAAAGAGTTCTGGATGGTGTTAGCAGGAACATCAACATCCTCATTATGATATTTCCATACTAATGGTAAACAAGAAATTACAAGATCAAAA